CGTGTCCTCCATCTGTGTATTTACAAACAGAGACAGGGCACAAACAGACTGGGGTGAGCCGCTTTGGCAGAGCTGTGTGAAGCAGGGGCGTATAACACCACCAAGCAGAGGGAGAGAGGGGGAGGACAGATAGGATTGACCCTTATGTCACCATTCTGGACAATATGACATTGCTTAGTGTGTGTGTGTGTGTGTATGAAAAACTGGATATGGAGTTCAAAATTCAAGTTCAAAATTACTAAAAGGTGAGGCATGCCTAAAATTAAATAAAATTATTAATTCCTGATAAGTAAATGCAATATTTTACCTATGAAAAAAGTGATTCCAGCTTAAATGAGTAAACTGAACCACTTTGCTAATGACTTAATTACATAGCTCACTTAAACACACATTCACATACAGTATACATATACACACTACCGTTCAAAAGTTCAATAGGATTTTTCTGAAAGAAAATATATATTTTTTTATTGATCAAAAGTGACAATAAAGACATTTATAATGCTACAAAATATATCCAATTCAAACTAACTTTTGAACTTTCTCAAAGAACTCTGATCACGGTTTCCACAAAAATACTAAGCAGCACAACTGTTTTCACCATTGATAATAACCATGGGCGTCGCTAGACCATTCTAGACCCTAAAATGACTACTCGGCCCCCTAAAATTTTGCGGTTAGTTCCATAAACTGTACACAAATTCGTGATCACCTCAGTCCCCTTTAAATTTCATATGAAAACAGTGGCAGACTTCGATCGGCTCCTCCCCGTCTTTCAGCATGTTCTTCAATCCGCAGACAGTGGCAGAGCAGAGCGAGAAACAGAGGACAAGGTGTGTGTTTATCGATAGATTGTTATAATATCTGCATCTGTGCAATTCTTTGACATAAATACAAAATATCATGTGGAGCAATCGGTTCCCCATCTACTGTAGCCTAAGTTTTCGCTGCGTTCACCCCTCATCACACCACAGGTTTCCTCCAGTGAAAAGGAAGCACATATGAATGCATATACGTTATAAAATGATGTTGCCATTTTCATTTGAATATATACTGTATATATAAAAAAAAATAATAATTTTTATTATTATTTTATTTTTTTATACCCTCATTGGGGGCTGAGCCCCCCTAAAATGAAAATCCTGGAATCGCCCCTTATAATAACAATAAGAAATGTTTCTTTAACAGCAAATCAGCATATTAAAATGATTTCTAAAGGATCATGTGACACTGAAAACTGCTGAAAATTGAGCTTTGCCATCACAGGAATAAATTACACTTTAAAATATATTAAATGTGCAGTAGGAGATCTTGGAAAATGCTAACTTTAGCCTGATAGCACTGAAAGCGAACGTCCCACCCTCCCTGCAATCGCCGTCCAGAGCCACGCCCCCTGAACGCATACACGCTCACAGAACAGAATACCAGACACAACATTACAATAGGCTACATCAGCGGTTCCCAATTTCAGTCCTCTCGCCCTCCTGCTCTGCACATTTCATATGTATCTCTTATCATGTACGACGTTGGTTCTATTCGACCGTAAGTGCCCTGGGAAATGGACAGTTCGAAGCGAGCATATATGTTTCATACAAAGGGCATTAAAGTGTGCGAGACGTGAATTTAAATAGTATTTATTTACAGAGGTATATTATGTCACACTTCTCTATTAAGTTTCGTCTGTGTGTGAAGACGCTGCGCAGCGCAAATGAATGTGAATAAATGTTCCGAAGTTAAGTAAACTTCAACGGATTACCCCTGCTCAGGGAGTAGGGAGCAAAGATCACTGTTTAGGGACTGGGAGCATGTCAATCGGAACGTATCCTGTCTGTGCGAACAGGGTGCGCAGAGGTATGCAAATACTTATGTTAACAGGCAGATAGGAAAGCCAATTAAAACTCTCGGACCGAGCGTTTTGATTGGACGAACATTTCTTGGTCCTACGCCTTCCACAGAATATATAAATACAGATAAATACATTTAGACCACTTAACTTAATGATTGCTGTCGGGATGTGAAGAGACTTTCAACCAACATAACAAAAAATGTTTCTGAAGACAATCACCTATTGCACCTTTAAACTAAAATTGTTATTTTAAAATGTAATAATTCACAATATTACTCTGTTCTTGATCAAATAAATACAGCCTTGTTGAACAATAGAGACTTATTTTAAAAGCGTTTTTAAAAAATCTTACCTACTCCAAACTTTTAAACGGTTGTGTAAATGACTACAACAAAAACTGAGAAAAATAATACTCTGTATATGTGAAACCTAAGTTACGTTGGTAGCACAAACCACAGTGTGCAAGTCCAAATATCAGCTCAGTTTCTTTTTTGTAAGGTTGTTCGCATGATCTTTTAAAGAAATGGCTTTTCTTTCCTGTGCTGAGGTATTTCCTGTTTACACAGGAAGTTGGGGGCGGAACATAACGAAACAAACTTTTTTAAAATGGCCAATAGTTTTTAAAAGTTTGCTTTGTCTACTTTTAGGAGTACATTGGTATATGGATGACCTCAAAGCCAACAAATATGGACAAAATCCACAAAACTCAACAACTAGTCAGGCAACAGGCATCACGCCTAAAGTCACATAAAACGTCGCAATTCTGACCAGACTGTTCACATACTGAAAAATCAGATATCCGTTCAATATTTTACAGTTCAAATATCACTAATAAAGGAAACCAAAAATATTTGGGCCACATTTAGCCATGGTGTGAACACAACTCAAAGGTCTTATTAAACAGTCAACAGACCTGCACGGTTCAATTATTAAACGTCATATTCTGCACAAGTGTGCAAGCCTACAGTCCAAGGCATCACAATCAAGATATTAAAAAAATGAGGTAGAAAAGCTCTGAAAGGTGTCGACTAATGTAACTAATGGAATGTATTAAAGTAACGCGGTGCGCCTTAGAATATTTTCTAACCTAAATAATTAGTCAATATTGAAAAGGTTAAATTCAACAGCAAGGAGAGCTTTCATGTCCTCATGTGGAGTCATAAATGTAGTTCTCTCATTAGTCATAACCCATCTGCAACATGTAAGTAGCAATTATGAGTCCTAAAAGTGCTTTTAAAGAAAGTGGTAAACCATGTGCAAGACGTTTAAGCGAAGACCCTTTTCAACAACTCTTGTCATAGCTGCCTTGCCGGCCACTTTAAAACCGGACCCTGCAAAGTACACTTTAAAGGACAAGCTTGAATCCACCTGCTTTCGCTTTCTGTTATGGTCATAAATCTGAATAACTAAATAATAACCTGCACTTAAACATATTTTGAATGCTTTTCAAATCGGATCGCCAAAAGTTTGGACTTTCATAAGTGCAAAATTTCCGTAAAACGCCCCGAAAAATCAATATTCAAGAGGAAATAATCATACATTTTGGGTTCATTTGCATGCAATGTGAAAGATTAATGCATTAAAACTCATCTAAAAGTTTGTCAGAAGAGTGTGTTGTTTTGTTTGTTATGTTTAATTCATGTTGCTAACATGGAGCCGAGCCAATGTCACGATATTGACTTTCAAATCTGTGATCTCTGAACTAACGTGAAATTGTGTAGTTGGAAAATGACAAGAGATTGATTTCCATAAGTCTCATAAGCACAACTGACTATGTAAATAGGGCTGATTTCTTTATGGGGGTGGGGGAAAATAGCTTGGCACTCCATTTACATTATCAAATGACACAATTTACATTTATGGTTTCCATTTACTATCAATCTGTAACGTACACAGTTTTGCAAGCGGGCGTAACTGTTAGAAGCACTTCTCTAAATCGTTGCCTGGCCGGGCTGGTAGGAATACAGACTTTGTAGGAGCTCCATTAAACTCACAATGCAATACACTACATGCAAAAAACATTATTCACATCCAACATTCATGACAGAGTTGAGACATTTAGAAATACCCTAAATATATGTGGGTTAATGTTTGTTGAGCACCTGTTGAGTTTGTTTGAGAGTCAATATGCTAATAAGCACTAATATGGCATGGCATGTGCCGCTAAGGGTTGCTTTTTATGACTGAAGGTCATGAATATATATGAATGTTTACTGTAAACAGCAGGATCCGAACACGGACTGGCACTGTGACGTGGGCAGTGTCATGGTTTGTTTGTAGTGTTTACACATCACACAGGAAGTGAAGGCCGCAAGAGGCATGGATCAAAAACGATTATTGAGGTACACTAGTCAAACTGTGTACAGTATTAGAATTCAGATTAGCTAGAATGAACCTTATGAACATGCTGAAAGCCATCTAAACTGCGAGCAAATTCCAACAGATGTGTTTTGAAATTGTCTGGAAAATTACTTCACGCTAACAAATAAAGGAATGTCATTGCATTAGACACAAATTAATATTAAACCAAGTGCTAATGATTTTAAACAAGCAAATTAATTCATTCATAATTAAACCAAGTGGCAAAATAAATAAATAAACAATGTGGAATTTATTCTAAATAAATAAATATTAAACAAAATAAAATGTATTCTAAATAAATATTAAACCACGTGGAATTTGTTATAAATAAATAAACCAAGAGTCAATTGTTTTAAATAAATAAACAAACAAACAAACAAACCACATGGCTTTAAACAAATAAATAAAACATTTAACCAAGTGTCATTTAAATAAATAAATAAATAAATCATAAAAAATGTTTGTTCGGCTTTAAATTATAAACAACAGAATTGCTGTTTACAGACTAAAAAGAGTAAACTACCACATGATGAATGGATAACAAACAAGGTAACCTGAGGTGAACTGACTTTATATATCCACTAAAAATTACTTTGGGACCAATTGGTTAAAAGTAATTATAAGAATGGCTTAAAAAATTCAGTTTTGAGAAATGGTCTAGCATCATTTGCTTGCAAATTCCACTTGGTTTAGTATTTAGTTATCTATTGCAAAGAAATTCATTCAAAAGTCTGGCTAGTGTCCAAATGCTCTTTTAGGCACACACATACACAGTTAAAACTGTGAGACGTACAGTTCAGCATCCACAGGGCTGGACCACTGCACTCTCCTGCCTGCAGGACAGACAGCAGGTAGAAGATTGGTGGAAGAGAAGGCAGACAGAAAGGAGAGAAGGACAGACAGGGAAAAACATCAGTGAGAAATTAGGAAATCTACTGAAACTTTGAATCATCAGAGACTAGTGCTCCACATCCAGTTCCCAAAAAAACTGATGTGGATTTTGTGCTAATTATCCAGCCGATATTGTGATAGCTTTATCTCCAGACAAATCAAATGGAGTTTTCTTTTCAGAGAAGAACAAGGTAACGAGGGAGGGCACACGGAGAGAGGTCACTTTGAAACAATTGTTCATTACCCGCTTCCGTCGAGTTTATTTTCACTCCGTGTTGAAATAATCTCGCGATACATTTTTAGCATCTTAAAAGGGCAAAATTCCCTTGATTAAACAAATAATAGCACATTCAAGAAAACTGTAATTGGGTTCAAATTGATTCGAGCGGATGCTCTAATTGCATTTAAACACTCTTCCTCCCTAACCCTGGATTCACAGCTTCTTAATTACTGGCCCTCTCCACGCAAATCCCTCCGGCGGAGAGGTGGAAAAATAAAAATAGTTCGAGTTTTACAGCACATTGTTAAACTGACCTATAAACTTTTTTATTCAATATAAATGAAGGCCCAGTGGAGGCAGGGAGGGTGAGGTGTTGAGGGAGCGCTACTAAACTCAGATTAGCCCAATCCCCCCCAGACTCCAATCCTGTCACTCATCTTCACCGACTTTCTCCCTCAGCTTTTTGCCGCTGAGGGGAGGGAGAGGCAGAAATGTGTTTCCTGAGAGAGGTGAAAAAGGCGCATCCTGATTAGAAGAACGACGGCCCAGTTGGCCAGCGCGGCCACCGCTGGTGTCTTTCTTGCAGAGGCAGCAAAAGTTGCGTGTGCCAACTCAAACAAGGCTTTCTTTCACACTGGGGGCCGGCGTGTGTGTGTGTGTATGTGTGTGCGCGCCTGCAGTGGCCTTCCTGAGGGCGCGCTGCAGCTGGAGCTCTCTGAATAAAGGTAACGGGTGAAAAGTCAACACTACTGTAAACTCTCCACCCTCCCCCCATCTTTCACCAGGACATTCCGAATCAAAAGAAGAAGCAACCCCACCTAAAAACATGCGCATTGTTTTTTTCCCTGCAAAGCCTTCCCACGAATTACAAAGAAAAAGTTTGCAAAGAGAGCAAGCGCTCGCTTTATTCCAGGACCTGTGATCGTGCCAAACAAAATGCCAGGAGAGAAAGTGACATTCAGTGTTGGCTAAAAAAAAAAAACAGCAGTTTGAAAGTGATTAGACTCTTTATTTCATTGTTCTGAGCCTGACACCAGAGAGGAAACCAGAACAATCCATTCAACCATGTTTTCCTTTTTTTCCTCCCTCTTTCTTGCTCTCTGAATTTAGAAACACTAATTAGTTTTGCTCTCATAAACCCAACCTGAAAATGGCCAATTAGATAGTGTGAAGTAAGAGACGTGCTGAAGAAACAAGTGCTTGAAGGGAGAAAAAAAAGGAAAAAAACCTCATCATTCTTCAATTATAGCTTCACATGCACCGCAATGAAAGAGAAGAATAACATTTCACACTTTCCGTGCAGAACATATGTTGGTTTGGCGTTCAGTCGTTTCATGGGAAAAGGCTACATGGACGTACTGCAACATAATGTTGTTATGTAAATGAAACACGATAATGCTTCATCTGTATTGGTTGTTATTCGAGTCTCTTGGGGTGTATTGAGGTCACCACGCTAACCGAACCACCTGGCTAACCACAGCAGCAGCTGGGCTTTAGCGTAGCGACCAACCTGACCGACGCATTCCCCTAAACCACCTGCATTAATCTGATATAGCAATTTCCCGTTTCAAGGGTACCTTCACGCAAATGACACAAAAAAGGCTGCTTTTGTTTTCCAAAAGGGTCTGTTTTGGTTTGCGTGCCTGGTGGCTTATTTTCATACAGAGGACGTCATAAAACATTAATGATAAACTTAAAAATTGTCTTCAGGAATTTTTGGGGCCGGTCCCCTGTGTTGACCAGGGTGAGTCTTTCGTCAGTGTCAGAGCGAAGACTGATGGCCTGTCAAAAGAATAGCCGGCTCCTGGGCTGGGCAACACGGCTAAAAAAAGGGGTCTGTGAGAAGCGGCGCTCTGTGCTTTTTGCCGGGAATGAATTCTCAGATGCCGGGGTCGCTGCCAACGTCCTTGCAGCCAACGGCTGAGAGGGCAGCAGAGTTCATGCTAACTGCAGCTTGGACCTGCGCTGAACATCTGCTCATGAATGAGCCGGCCGCCTACTAAAAAAGTACGAGGGCCTGCTGATGAAAAATTCAACGCTCTCTTTCTCCTGGCACGCTTGTTTTGCGTCTATTCTCCTGAGCCCGACCCTGCAGAATCATATTAAGAGAATCTGCGAGCGCGCCGCAGAGTTTATCTGGAAGAACAGCTGGTGCTGAAAAGGGATCTGCTGCTTCAGGAGAGCTCAGGGACTTTCGCACGAAGATCTGCCATCACGTACACCATTTGTCCTTGAAGAAGGAAAAAAAGGGTTAAACATTCAAGTAATATGCTGGGAGAGTTTTTTTTTTTTTTGCTTGTTGAGTAACAGTAAAGCCTTTTGCTGGTTTTCAATATTTAAATCTCAATATTTATGTATTTGCTCAAAAACTGCTTAAAATGGTGATGTTATTCACAATTGTCTCCTGCAAAGCATTAGCGAATCATTGATGTTCGATTTGACTCAATGTAATAGATAAATGAAGCAGAGACACCGCTGAACCATCTCAGTCTTATTGCTCTCATAATCAAAAGCTACGAGACAAACATTGTAAAAATCAGTCATACATCCTAGAAACTGAATGGCCAAACACACAGCACATTAAAATAACTCTGATATTTACAATGTATCATTATTTGCATCATTGCTATAAGGCTGCTCAGTACATGGGTGGTTGCTTACTGTCCCAAGTCAAAAAGTCCACATTTTTTGATATTCTAATCTTTCAATGTTGCAAAAGAGCCAAAGAGATATAAGAATGGCTGACTTTAAAGACAAACTGCTCTGCCACTCCATCACAGTGCCCTCTCCCCGACACTGCAATTTCCAGGTTCAGATAATCATAGTTTCCACTTTACTTCTAAAGTCCAGCTAAATATTTGATTTACATAAATCCACCAAACCATTATACCTACAGGGTCAGAGGCTTTCTTTGGAAACATATCACTGTGAGTAATAGCAGGAGTTTAAGGAAGTGGTCAAACTGAAATAACCGATTACCTCACATTCAGCAATTTCGCTTCTGTCTCTGGCCAGGATAGGTTCAGCTCAGTGAGCCATAAACATCTTGTTTGTGTACAGTGCGCCAGAGTAAAATGCGGAACGGAGGCTACAACATTTGATTTCCATGTTCGCAGATAGTTCAATGTGCAGTGGAACCTTTTAGAGGCATCAGCAAAAAACTGGGGAAGCATTAAAATAGGTATTACATGGCATTTGTTTCCGATTGGAACGTTCCAACTTCCTTGAGAGACTGAAGAACAGAAATTGCAACATTTGTCATTGAGTAATGCTAGTCGTGCCTTTAATATGCAAAAAGGCTGGGTTTTTTGAGCACAGCTGCGATTTTTGTCACAATGCACCTTTAGATAAGTTTCCATCAAAAAGCCCCTTCTCAAAAAAGAAGGTGGCACTGCATTGGTCTAATGTTTATTTGATATTTAGCCCATTTGCTGCTAGACAAAACTACATTCTCCAAAGTCGATTTTTAAATTTTTCTAAATAAAACTGCAGTGATTGCCCAAGCAAAACTAGCTACAATACAAAAGAGTTTCTGAGAGGTCAGGCTAATGTTAAAGGAATTCTTAAAAAAAATCAGTCATAATTTACTCACTTTTCTGTCTTACAAACCTGTATAACTTTCTTTAATCTGTGAAACACACACAAAAAAGTTTTAAAAACAGCTTCTTTTGTGTTCTGCAGAAGGAAAAAAAAATAACATACAAGTTTTCAACTTCTGAGACAACAATATGGCTTGCTACATCTTTCAAAAACATTTTGATAAAAACAACAGGCATGCAAATTCAATATTATTGCATTATTAAAAGTCAGCACTGAGGTAAACGTTCAATAAGCCATCCTTATCAGATCTATAACTGTGTTTTATCTTTTTAATACATCTAAATGTGTCAGTAGTAGGGAGTGAGAGAGAGGGAAAAATTGGTAAATATGACTAGTTAAATTTAATGCAAACATTGTTGACACAATGTAATTTAAGTTTGGTAGTGTGAATGAAAGCCCAGCAGGGGTATTAATACCCTCCTAATGAGAATCCTCGCTCACTGTAGACCTTGCTGAGATAGCCATAATGCATGGCTCCTCTTGTTTAATAAAATAATTGTTACAGTTATTAAAGATGAATCTCATCAGAGGCAGGATGACAAAATAATTCATTACCAAACGCATGGCTTTAAATAGCTGCAAATTAAATTTCCCACAGAAAATATGCCTGTAGATGAATGGGATCGTTATTTCATAAATATTGTATTCAGTGTGCCCTTGGAAGACAAAAAAAAAAAACCCACATCTGAACATCAATTTTAAAAGTTCACTGCAAAATGCAGTTAATAAATGACTCTAAATTCTTACCGCATATGTTAATTTGACAGAAAAAAAGGCAGCATTGTGGATCGAGTTTTAAAGTCCAGGCCGGCACGAACTACAGCTTGATAATGCAGTGCTTAATACAGATACCGCCAACGTATAATTACTCCGATTATTTAGAGTTCCTGCTGTTTACTAAAGGCGCAGAAACTTCCCAGCAAGCACTTGGCATCTCCTGTCCTCTCTCTCTCACACACAGCAGGATGTAAAGAGGAAAGCTTTATTAAGATCCTGCAGCCATAAAAGAGCAGGGTGACTAACCGGCTGCATTAGCGTCTAAAAGCCAAAGTTATTTAAACCTAATAAAACACTAATACATTGTTTGAGTGGAAGTTACAGTGAAGTTATCTTCACCTTAAT